ACAAATGTCAGCACTGTTATTCATAAAATATTTCTCATAAATGCAGATTTAAGTTGCAATTATATCAAAAGCTGTCCTTTTTCAAGAGTTACCTCATTAACATAAAGCAAAAAAAAATGATAGCACTGTGTCCTTAACCCTTGCACCACCAGGGAGGCCAGGCGAAAGGAATCTAGTAGAAGAGAAGAGAGAATAAGAGTCAGGGAGCAGTGGGCATGGGAAGGCAGGGAAAGGAAGGAGATGGAAGAAAATTCCCTCCATGCGGTGTACCATTTAGCATTCCCTCCTGCAACATATAAAAATGTGTTTTCTCCTCAAACTTCATCAGCTTTATAAATGTTTGCCTAACTGAGAGATGAGAATTGGAATTTCATTGCCATTTTACTTTTCAAATTAACTTTCCACAGGGATTTGACCATTTTAAAAAAGAATTATGGTTTTCTTTCCTCAGGTTTTAATCATTCTTACATCTTATCTATAAAGTATGTTGAAAATATTTTTCCAAGTTTTCATGTGTATTTTGACCTTGCATTAGGTGTTTTATGCTATGCCAGCTTCCTATCTTTACAGTCATTATATTTATTTTTTAGGATAATTTAAGAATTCTTTCTCCAGAAAGTAATGATGCAATTTTCTTTCCATCTATATGAATATTCCTTTAATATTATAAGATCCATGGTCCATTTGAAGTTATTTCCTACATATGAGGAATATATCCAATTTTAACCTTTACAAATGACTATCCAGATGTGTGACAGAATATCTAGAGAAGCCCTTGTTTGACAGTAGTGTCTTTTCATATATGAATTTCTTTATGTAATTGAGACTACTTTTGGCCTTTTCATTCTATTCCATTAGTCTGTGTATTCTTTGTTACTAGCCAGCAAAGTGTTATAAATGGGGAAATTTGAAATTTGTTTTAATATTAGTAGACAGAGTCATTCCTCAGAGCTCAGCTTGTGTAGTCTGCATAGTCCATTGACTGTCTTTCACATGAACTTCAGTGTCAATTTGTTCAGTCCCATCAGTCATTGGATGTTTGTTGGGATCACTTTAAAGATATAAATTCACTTAAGCAAGGTCTTATCCAAAACCAAATGTGTTTACTTTTCTAAATTCAACTGTTTTGTCTTTCTGAAATCTTTCACATATTTTTCATATACATTATGAATAACTTTTTTAAGTATATTTCCAAACACTTCAGTTTTTCACCATTGCAAATAAGGTTTTTCATGTATTATGTATTGCACATGATTTGTATGTTGTGGCAGCTGTATCTCTAGAGATACTGAGAGAATAGGATTTGTGTGGTTTTATTTGGAATTTTTAATTTTTAGATTGAAGGTAAGATATGTAATAAAACCACTCCTTTTTTTAAGATTTATTTATTTTTTTTTCAATGACGACTTTTATTATTGCATCTTAAAGATGTATCACAAATAGATCTAAGAAATCATCCATTATCTTGCTGCTCTGTAGCTGGACAACTTAAATCTTATTCATCAGCTTGCTGAACTGTTCCTTTTTCAGAAACATAGATACCATCCAAAAAATTCCTAATATCCTTGTTTTTAACTGTCGTGGCTTGCTGAATCAAAGCAGCTGAATTTGATACAAGTTCAATGTCGTTTCCTTCAAGAATCAACTCATCTTTCTGGGCTTGAGATACTGAACAAGCAACACCTTGTCTCATCCGAACCCTGCGAATGTATTTTTGCCCAAGAAATTTCGGATTTCAACAAGAGACCCATTCTCCTGAATAACAACGTTGATAGGGAAGTGAGCATACACAGACCTCATCTTATAACGGAAGCCCAATGTAACACCTTTGATCATGTTCTGTACATGACTACAGATAGTGCGAACAGTAGCCAGTTCCTTTCTATTTCCCCACCATTTGTCAACCCGAAGCCTCTTCTTTTTCTTCCCAAGCAAACTGAGTTCGACATTGATGTGATTGAAGTCCCTCCGCAGGGTGCCTCTGGGGCCCTTCACAATAACAGTGCGACCCTTCAGGGATATGTCAACATTTTCTGGAAGGTCGACAGTCTGATTGCTGAGAATGGTCTTCATTTTCGCAGTAGATGTGGCAAAGAGAGAGCGTCTAGATTTATTTATTTTATACAAGAACTGGGATACAGGCCAGATGTGCGGGAGGGTGAGAGGATACACCAGAGACAGAGCGGGGAGCAAAGCAGGCAGACTGACGAAATACACTGCTGAGGGGAGCAGCGGGCCAAACAGGAGCGGTCTACCGTGCCATGTGGGATTCTAGCCAGTGGCCCGGCATAGACCCCGCACTGCAGAGGATGTAAACAGCTTCAAAGTCCTCTGCTCAATGGCCTGCACCGCCAGGGAGTCCCAAAACTATTCTTATCACATTAAAGATACTGATAATCAAACAAGTTACTTTTTTCCTTTTTATCCAATGGCATGAAAGTAGAATTCCATAGTAAAAGAAACCAGAAAGTTCCCAAATTTGTGTCACATCTGTTTTTGTAAATAAGTTATCTGTAAAACAAACCATTTATCTATATCCAAGATTTCTTTTTAATTACAATGCCAGAGCTAGAGTTTAAACAGATGACCCAAAGGTAGAAAAAAAATTCTATCTACTTTCTTCAAAGAGAGTTTTCCAAATACTCACTAGAATTTATATTTTCAAAGTTCAAAAGGTATAAAAATTTATGAAATTAGAAAGGGCATTTAAATATTAAAATGATTTCCAAATTTATGAAATGGAATGAAACTGTAAATTTTCAAAGATTATTTCAAGTAACCTGTGTTTAAATAAAGGCAAATAATATGAGCCAGCAGGAGAAAGAGAATTAATTTTAGCAGTGGGAGCCATGAGACCTCCAGGAACAAGCTCCCTGATATTCATATTTACATGGAGACATATATATGTATATGACAACTCTGGTGAAATACATATATTATATATTTATGTATGAGTGTATGTATGTATTTATTTTCAACTCTGGTGAAGCAGCTGATATTTGTGTCCTGAAAGTGGTTTCAGGAGAGCTCAATGAAAAGTTCCTTATTTTTTTTTAAACTTTATTTATTTTTTTCTTTTTAAAGTTTTATTTATTTATATAAGCACAGGGTACAGTCAGAAGTGTGGGAGGGTGAGAGAATTCATGAGAGCCAGAGCAGGGAGCAGAACAGGCAGACCGACGAAGTACGCTGAGGGAAGCAACGGGCGTGGCAGGAGAGGTCTTCCTGCCCTGTGGGACCTTTGCTAGGCGGCCGGGGATCTAAGCTACACTGCAGTGCGCCACGGGGGAGGCCCTCAATGAGAAGTTTCATCCAGAGTCCCATCAAACAGAAAAAGGCACAGAAATAACTGTCTAAATTGCAAGCTGACATTCAAATATTAAATTGTCCCTAGCTACCACTTGGAATTTTGAACTGTAATCAACTGACCACAACTTCTTAGTTAGTAAGTTCACTGTCCTTATTTTTGCCAACAGCCAAAAACTGACATTGAAGCATCTTTGGATATAAGCATGAACTCTCAATCCATCTGCAAAATAACTATCTTTATTATAAAAGTTATATCACATTAAAAGCGAAACTAAGAGCTAAATATTAGGATGAATAGAAAAGGATTACATGTCTTGCAATCTGTGAATTAAATCCTTGGTTATTTTATCAAGAATCAAAAGTCCTTATTTAAATTCAATATCCAAGGACTCTGAAAATGAAGTATTGAATCCTAACTGAAGTTTGAAACTCAGTCCCAACATATGCCCACAGGACTTTCCACAACACCAAAATATTCTTCCATGCACCAAACCTTACAAGATTAAAACATCAATATTTAAAGAAAAGTATGAAGAACTGCTTAAACTAATGATTGAACCCACATCTAGATCAACACAGAGAGAAATTTACTGAAGTAAAAACAAGTTCTTCAAATCAGAGACAGAAAAATTCCACTGCAAGTCACACAATCCTAATGAACTTGCAGTGACCAACACAAGGAAGGGCCCTATGTGTGTTGTATGATGTCCCTACTATTGGGCACCAAGTTGTTAGAGGTGGACAACCCCAGGGCTATGTGGGTGACCTGCGTATGTCTTCACCGTTAAGTTTTAGGACATGGGACGAGACTGAAAAGCAGAAACCACAGATAAATTTTAAAATGGTTTATCTACAAGGGGCTAGAAAAAGGGAGAGAGAGAGAGAGAGAGATCAACTGGATATTTCCTACCAAAAGTATTAAGTGAGGTGAGATGCCAGGGTGCAAGTCAAATCTGGAAAAGCAAGAGAGTGACAGCATGCATTTGTTTAGGATTTAAGGCAAATATGGCTGCATAACTCTCCCCAAGTTCCTAGCAGACCCTGTAAAGGAAGCCAGATTCAAGGAACACTGGGAGTTGTAAGTATCTGTGATCTCAGTGGCTTGGAGACTAGTGTGTAGTCTATAAACAGATCAGTGGGTGAGGTTCATTTAGCATTGCAATCACAGGCTCACATGACTCCTACCATTCCTATAACTAAGAAAGAACTAACTACACAATTTCATGAAAACAATAGAATACCTAGCAATCTAAATGCAAAGGTCAAATACAAAGACACATAATAGAAAATTGTCAATTATCTAACAAAAATATACAGAAATCCAGGAAGAACTAATTTCAAGAAACAAGAAAACAAAATGTCTCTTCCAAATTTAGTATGCATAAAAAAGACTTGAGTTATGTTGACATATATCATTTGATATGAATCTTTGCTTTATCTAAATTTCTACAGAGGTTGTATAAAATCATATGCATAAAGCCTACGCAATACAATGTTGAACATGCATTTATCAAAATATCCATTACAATATTTATATATATATATCTTGATGCTTTATAATTTCAAGCATAGTAGCACAAATTTATCAATTTTAAAGCATTTCAAATACGTCAAAATCATACATACAATCAGACACATTTTACATACATACAATCAGACACATACATATAATTAGAAACATTTTACAGATTCTAGAAATACATAATTGGAATACCATTCTTTAGATGGACCGTCATTCTCCACCTCTGCCTCAAGAAACACCTGTAAGTTCTTGCTTACAGATAAATAAGTGTGTCCACATGCAGGGTTGATCCTGAGCACCAAGGTTTGGGTTGTATACTATGCACTTCTTTGGATTTGTAGTTTTATAGGATGAGAATCTGTAATTAAAAATAAAATATTAACACTTGGGAAAAGGAAATGAGACTATTCATTGGTGGGTGTTTACCAAATAATAGATATTTTCAAAGCATTCGATTGACTCATTACCGACTCATTGAGCCAGTATGTTTTTTATGCAATAGCCACAGTTTTGACACTTACAGAGAACAATATTACAAAACTAGGCTATGCCTCAGGAAACAACAGCACAGAGTTCAGTCATTTTTTTGCATTTGTTTTAATGGATTTGATATAGTATATACTCTGCTTCAATTTTGCTTAAGTATGTTTTGACTAAACTGGTCTAGGTAAACAAGTTAGGTGATACAATTGTATGATACTAAAAACTCTGTGTTTATCAACAAAAAGGAGAATCAAACACACAGAAAATTAGTCTAGAAATTTTGAAAAGAAGGAAGTGTAAGCCGAGGCTATTGGCTTCCAGCAAAATAAAAGGTATCATGGACACTGCTTTCTGTGGATAGTTCCTGTGAAAGTAACATCTGTGCATCCACCCACACCCATCAGGGTGAAAAAGCCTCATCTCACTTATCCCACAAGTTCTTTTTGGTCACATGTACACAAATTTGATGGTAATTGACTTGTGTTTTCCAGATGCAACAAAATTATTATTCTTTTGAATTGAGTTTGTCTACATTATCATGCTTTAGGAAAAGGATCTCAGCTAGAGTTGTGGAGAGATAGGAATAAGTTCACACAGAACAGAAAAACTCTGAAAAGAGAAAACTTACAGATTTGGAGGGAAAGCAGAGCCATTCAGCCACACCCAGGTTTGTAGTTTTTCACTGTAGATGACTCCAATCCAGTAAAATTCTCTACTTAATTTCATAAAGTGCTGCTCAGAGACAGAAACAAACAATTGTAATTTAAATCTACTCTGGACTAATATTGTTTTAAAAAGTTAGTCCAAATTCCTGCTATGTGAACTATAAACAAGATGAAAACACATACATTTGCCAAAATGAAAATTGATGTAAAAAAATATATAAAATTAAAAATTTTAAAAAAGGAAATACTTTCACAGTAATAAAAAAAAAAAGTTAGTGCCCAACATCAGTTTTAGCCTTTTAATCATTAACACTTAAAAGCAGTTTTAATTCTTGACTTAGGAGGTGATCACAAGTCTCTTTTTTCCTCAAATATCAAGCCTATCTACTTATCGGGAAAAATCACATAAAAATCTCAGGTCTTCACTGAATGAAGCCTTTACCATATATATTACTATGTATTACATTTTATATTATAAAGGGAGTTAGAATTTTACTTCACAGGAGTCTGACATCCAAATTTGACTCTACAGCAGAGTCTTAGGGAATAAATTTTGTGGGTAAAATCTTCTCAACCTATATTCAGTACAAATTCTGCATACAGTTAGAGAAATATTTCTTTTCTTAAGAACCGGGTAATTTTTATGATCACACATTTCATTTTCATTGCATATCCCATAACGATGATACAATATACAGAATTACAAAATAAATTATAAAATTAATGAAAGCACTGAGATTCAGTTATTTATTTTTTTTAGAAAAATGCTCATATATTAGACTCTCTTTGAATTCTCTCTAAAATATCTCTTGTACTTTATTTGACATTTCTCTTGAGCTTTTTCACACTAAAACTCTGAATTTATCAAATTCCTGATAAAATTTTATAAGTTTTATAATGATTAAGTTAAAGGCTATTAGTAAGTCATTATTTCAAAAAAATATTCCTAATTATCTGATTAAAGACAGAATCTAATTCATCTTACTTAAATAGTACACATTCCTAGGTCAAAAATATATGTAGGAAATGAGAATTAAATACATACTAATTCATCTCTGTTGTGCATCTGAAAAAGTAAGGAGTTCTGAGAAACACAGATATTTTGACTTTCATTCCAAGTTTTTGGTTCACTGGAAATGAAGTAACAGTTGCATCTGTACAGGATCCAGCCTTCCTGGCAAGAACAACAGTCAGAATCTAAGAAAAAAAATAAAACACGACTCTTGATATTGGAGATTCTGATTTTTAATACTCTTTACTCCTATAAAAATATTGGTTTTTTTCCTACAACTTTCTAAAAAACTAAATTCAGTGTTGAACACCCATTATAATATTTATCTTGATGCTTTATAATGTCAAATGTAGGTGCACAAATTCATCAACTCTAAACATTTGAAATACATGAAAATCATACGATTCAACACAATTAGAAACATTTTACAGATTCTAGAAGAACCTAATTGCAATACCATTCTTAAAGGAAACTGCACATTTCATCCACTACCAACCCCAGGATTTACAAAGTATAGAACTTACCTTCCTGGGATTTGAGGGTGGTTCCTGGAGAAAGTGTTGGTTCAATATCTAATTTATGAAATGCTATCAGAAATGATAAGAAATTAACTATTAGATACAAGTTTGTGAAACAATAAAATATTCCACATTAGTAAATGAAAGCTTTATTAAATTATTCCATCAGTGCTCTGAACTTTATATAAACTTGACCAGGAAAACTCACAGTTTTTCAAAACAATTCCCAAAATAGCCATCAACAAAAGACACAATACTGCTAAGATTCCAGAAATCCACCTCCATGGAGTGGTGCAAAAACCTATAAAGAAAAAGAGGTAGATTAATGACTTCAAAGAAAGACATAGCTCCGAAGATCTCAAAAACAGAAACTAGCACAAGAGAATCGAAAAAAAAGGTTTTGGTTTGGAAACCTCTTCATCTTCCCAGTGAAGCAATAGAAATATGAAGACAATGCATAGAAAACTGAAAACAAAAATATATTCTTCTGTGAGATTATCCACACTTTTTCTTTTTGTCAAATACATGTCATTAATGTGATTTACAAATTATTTATTTGTTGGCATAGAAATTAAGACATTACAGAGTAGAAGTGATCAGACAAAAAATTCTGTTTTGGTCTTTATAGCCAACATTTACTTTTATTTTTTCATCAAAATCACAAGTGATATGATTCTTATTAGGTAGTTGAGAAAACTAGAATTCATTAATAGTGTTATTTTTTCTAGGCATCGACACTAGTAACAACTCGGAAATAAAATAAATTTGTCTCCTGGAGTCTTTCATGTAATTTATTTATCATTGTGTAAATCACACTTCTGAGGACTGCACTTCTCCTAATCTCAATATATTCCCTAATGCAGTTCTGTCAGGCTGCTCATAACTCTGGGAGGTCCTGTGGGGAAGAAAAGACAGGACTCTCTAGTCCGGGGATGATCAGATGTTCCCAAAACAATTATGTGACACATCCGGGCAATCGGCATTTATTTCACATATTTTGAAAGATGATATAAAAGTAACCATTTTGAACAAGACATTTTCTCATTCCCAGAGTTACTTTCCTACAGGAATTTCCCCTCAAGCAAATGACCATTAGAAGATTCAGCACAATCTCTAAGAACAGTGTCAATAACAGTCTACTGTGTCAGACTATTAATAAGGATGACTTTGGATGTCAAACATAAATGGTCAACTTATATAAACTTGTAGCATCATCACTGATATTTGTTCTCCTCTAAATTTTGTTTTATGCTCAAACTGTGTTGCTCATACTTCGACCTGGTAAATCAGTCCCATAAGCATAGTGCTATCCCTGTCATAAGCCAACCTTTAAACTGTTGGAAAAGCTTTCACAAACTAATTTATATGGCAGAATGAAGAATTATGAAAATAAAATTAAATGGAAAATATTGATATATGATAAACAAAAAAAAAAATTTCACTTTTTCTTATCCTGTCCTGAAGTTACCAAATCTATGACATACACCTTCAGGTTGTTTTAATTTTTTTAACTGTTCAGTTTGGATTACACATACCTGCCATGAGGAGAGATGTCCCAGTCCATGCAGGGAAGACTCACTGTGTGCTTGTTTCAGAAAATCCAGGTCACATCATGGACTCAGCTGGAGGCTGAGCAATCTTGAGTTTGCGTAGAAAAAATGTAAAAGAAAAAGAGAAATTGTGCATTCAAACAATGTTCTTATATCACCTACGTACTGGTGAGAATGGATGGACAGTCTGAACCAGAAGCAGCAAAATCACGAGCTTCTGAAAGTTCTGGGACCACAATACAGGAAGTTGCTGTAGCTGCCAAAGCTTCCCTTTGTTCATGGTAAAAGGTCAGCATCAGTTTTTTTTTTTCAATGACTGAAGATCAAAATAATTTTTAAAAAATATTTGGGGGCCTCCCTGGTGGCACAAGGGATTAAGCACAGCACTGTGAACATCTCTGCAGCCTCTGGCCAGCTAGGGAGCTACCCACATGGCGCAGCAGATCTCTCCTGTCTTGCCCGCTGCTCCCCTCACCAATGTATTTCAGTCAATCTGCCTGTTTTGTTCCCCAGTCTGTCTCTGGTGAATTCTCTCATCCCCTGCATCTCTGGCCTGTACCCCAGTACTTGTATGCATAAATAAATAAGTCTTAAAAAAAGTGTTTGGAAAACAGGAGGAACATGGGGAAATTTAAATATGTAATTAGTGTAATGAAGTTCCACATCATAAAAATTTCCTTTTTTAATAAGAAACAGTCATTAGTTACATGGTACTACACACTGATTAAAGCACTTAGCATAGTTTAGATTTATTTCTGAAACTGACTTAATAGTAAAGTTATATAAATAAACTCATTATTGGTGAAAAAACCAAAGGAATAAAAAACTAAGAAAATTGTCAAAAAGACTTACATTTGAAACTTGGTAGTATTCTCCATGAACTCATGCAGTTAATTTTAAATTAAGCCTTTTCTCCACATTTGTGTATTTTGTGAATTTTCATTTTCTTAGCACAGAGTGGTTACCATTTCCATGTCTTATTCTGCACTGTGATCCCTGCCTCCATAACTCAGCTGGGGAAGTCAGGGATAAAAATAATTGAGAAGCACCTCCCACTATTGTTCCATGCACACACACACACACAAACACATGCTCTAGCAAAGCCTCAGCTGACCTGAACCCACACTCAGTGTCTCATTCACGTTAACCTTCAAACCTTCCTTCAACACTTTTCTCCCCAGTGTTCCCTTCCCTTCAGGGCTTTGAAAGTGACTATAGCTCATACAAGAAGACAGATCAGTAATACCATTACTAAGCTAATTAAATTATTTGATGGAACACTAATAATGAGGTGGAAAAGATTTCTGAACCTTGAATTGCTGAGATAAAGGACTTCCAAGATTCATCCTGGGCTGGAAAATAATAACAACTCTTTATACCTTTACAACAAAAAACAATAAATGTATAGAAAGCAGAAATGGTATCAGCAGCTCCTTAGAGAAGTAGCAAAGAACAATCAAGAAGAATCATTGATTTTACTGCCAACCTCTTTTATAATGTGAATTTTTAATGAATATTCAAGTTTAGCTTTGGAAACAAAATGAACTTCTGACCAAAAAGCATAAATTCCCCCAAAAGAATAATTCATAAAATACACGCAAATATTTTGAAAGATGGTATTTTGTAATCTGCATCAATCATTATATAAAGAATGTTACTACTCCTAATTCTCATCTTATTGAAAAATAAAATTGTTTTAGTTTGATACATATTGTTCTCATACCTTAAGATAGAGATGAAGTTTTCTGTAGTTCACATGAGCACATTGTTTGGTGAAAATGTGAAACCAAATCATGTGCAGCATATCTGTATTCTTAGTGCTTGTAACATACAATTGGGATCAAAATAATATTACCAACCCAAGTTTACTTAGATATGTCAGTGACATTATCATAAGAGTTTTAAAATATATGACACATGACATTTAGGAAAAGTGTTCTCTCCGTTGATCAGTGAAAAAAGAACAAAAGCTTCCTGTAGTGTGGAGCAAGAACATCTAAGAGGAAAAAAAAAGTGCTGAGTCTAGTCCCCACATCACTTTATTTTGAATGATATTTTTGCTTTATTTCTATTAATGTAGATGGAGTTACTTCTTTTTATTATTATTATTATTATTTTATTATTATTATTATATTACATCATTCTTCCTTTTTGTACAGTCCATGCTCTCTCCTCTCAGGTGCAGTCCTCACATCTTAAATAAGTTTTCTTCTGGCAAAATCTGGAAGTAATCACTGTGATCCATGACTTCAAAGTGAGAGGCTCAAATTGTTTTATAAAATACATTAAACTCAGGTGTTTTATAATTTTTTTTATATTTATACCTCAAGCAAAGACTTGAATTATATCAAAATAATATAGTTGGTTTAAAATTTATATAATATATTATAATAAAATAAAATACACATTGATACAATTCACTGCCTTTGGAGGTGGGAAAATGATCTGGAGGTGTTAAAATGTACGGAGTCCCTTTTTTATCAGAATAGGCTTTAATTCTCCCTAAGAAAACTGAAAAAGGATGTTTCTTATGGCTTTCATTTTGCACTTTTCCGCTTTCCCTACACTGTACAAACTGATGATGATAACTGAAACAAAGATAATGTGTGTGTGTGTGTGTGTGTCACATACCTGTCTACATATACATACAGTTCTAAAATTGGTATGGACACACAGACACTTTCATCCCTTGGGCCAACTGGGGTAAACTGGATGGAGAATAATAATTATTATTCTGTTTTCTTTCTTTCCTTCTCTCACATTTCACATCTGGAGCTTGACTTCACTATGAAATGTGAATAACTGACCTCATATTTAAGGTTAAACTCAAAGAAAAAACATCCACAAAAATGCTCAGACACTTAACACAATATAGAAAGGAAAATAGCACCTCCATCAGCAGGTGCTGAGTGGATCTGACCCAGTCAAAAGCTGGGAGGAAGTTTATAAAGCCCTGGTTGAAGGAGAGTTAATTAAATGAAATGAATTCCAACCCTGCTGCCCAGAGACACAAAGATTCACACATTCATTTTGGCTGCTGCAACTCAAGGCACCTTATGTTTTGAGAAAACTAAATTCCTGCCATCAGATGTAGCCATCGAGTCTTGCACTCCAAAGTGTTTGTTTGCTTTTAATAAGAAAATTATCTTGGATTCATCTTTTTATATTTCTCTTTTTTCAACCTTTTTTGGCCATTCACTTATAGAATGTAAATCACCCTCACCTGCCTTCATCTAGGAGAGCCAGAACAGAGGTGTGATGAGGATGAGCAGTGTTTCCTTCCTAAGTTATTAAACATCCCACCTGACTTCTGAATCCAGTGAAACTCTGTGGTAAGGGCTGGCTTGTCCTGTACCTAGAGAGTCAGGGCAGATCAAACGAAGCCACAATGGGACCGTCTTTCTTAAAAGGATGGGACTATTTTGGATATTTAGACCTCTAAGGGTGTTCCATTTGATATTTCAGAAAAAAAAAACCTGCATCATTTTAACACAAATGATAAAATGACTTAAAATTACTAGCTTGGTGGAGCTCCAAGTAGCTGTTAAATAAAACAATGGATGACATTTTACTCTGTGTTCAAATCAATATTAGATTATGATGTTTTTATTTCTCTCTAGTGGCCTAAGGAACAAAATATGAACTTATTAAGCTTCTTAAGTGAAATATCACAGGGTAAGCACACTGAATACATGCATATTAGTCATGGATGCAACAATTTGATTCATTTTTTGCAGAAACATGGCTCTTTATACTGGTATAATTCTTCTTGATCTATTTTATTATAAATTTTCCTAAATGCTATCAATACTTCCTAAAAACTTGAATTTTATAAAATTTCTGTATTTTCATATTATATAAAACTTGATCTATAATGAGCCTAGAGCCCTAGAAAGATTTACATATGTGTTTAAAACTTGAACATATGTCTAATTAAATGTTTACATTCATTTTGAAGTATTTTTCAAAGGTTCCCAAAGGAAACAACCAATAATTGACTCTCTTCTGAAAAATACACTGTAATTCCTGAAAGAGGGCATGTGACCACTATATGAAAGTGCATTAGAAATGAAGTGCATTTCCCTGATTGCAAGTGATGTTGAACATTTTTTCATATGTCTGTTGGCCATTTGCATTTCCTCTTCAGAGAAGTTTCTTTTTAGCTCTTCTGCCCATTTTTGACACCAGTGAGAATGGCACATATTAAAAAAACTAGCAACAACAAATGTTGGCGAGGATGTGGAGAAAAAGGAACTCTTCTGCACTGTTGGTGGGAGTGCAAACTGGTCCAACCACTATGGAGAGCTGTGTGGAGATTTCTGGACCTACTAAACATAGAGCTTCCATATGATCCAGCAATTCCACTCCTAGGTATTTACCCAAAGGACACAGAAACATCAATTCCAAAGAGCACCTGCACCCCTATGTTTATAGCAGCACTGTTTACAATAGCTAAGCTTTGGAAACAACCCAAATGCCCAAAAGTAGATGACTGGATCAAGAAGATGTGGTACATATATACCATGGAATATTACTCAGCATTCAAAAAAGATAAACACATGCAATTTGCAGCAACATGGATGGCGCTGGAAGGGATCATGCTCAGCGAAATAAGCCAAAAAGAAAAAGAAAAATACCGGATGGTCTCACTCATAGCAGGAATCTAGAAAACTTAAATAAGGGACCAGGAAAATGAATATAAGAAAGTGAAAATCAAAATCAACAAAAAACTATGAACCAGAGACACTTTTTGGGGGGTGGGGGGCGGGAGGGGAAGGATTGGGGTCAGAATGGGGCGTTTGCAATTGTATGGGGGAATATAAAAATAAAATTTAAGATTAAAAAAAAAAAAAAAAAAAAAAAAAAAAAAAATGAAGTGCAATTGGGCCTCCCCTGGTGGCGCAGGCAGTTGAGTGCTGTGCTGTGAAGTTGTCTGCAGCCTCTGCAGCACGGGTTTAATCCCAGCCAGCCAGAGAGGGTCTCACATGGCAAGCAGACGACTCACCTGCTGCTC